TTAATGTCCTGGTTCTCATCAGTGCTGAGCATCCACAGCTCCTATAAACTACAAATGGAGCTGATCAGGTCTGAAAATCAGGTTCTAAAACCCAGATTTTTAAAGATACCTAAGTCAGTGGCAGTTGGGCACTGAGGCCCAGATCTTCAAAGGTATTTAGGCTTTATTTCAAAGGTTTCAAATACTTCAAAGGTATTTAGGCTTTAATATAATAATATAATTATTATATTATTTTTAACTTCCATTGAAACCAATGCAAGTTAGGTGCCTAAACATTTTTGTGGATGTGGGCCTTAGGCACTTTTGAAAATCCCATGAGGTGCCTTGCTGCATCTTGAGGTGCCTAAATACCTTTAAAAATCTGGCCCTAAGTGACTTGCCTCATAGCACACATGTGATCTGTGGCAAAGCTGGAAATAAAACCCTGATTCCCAGCCCTGTCCTTTTATCTAAGGACTTGGAAAGTTTCCCAGACAACTGCCAGCCAGATGAAGATGTAAAAGATTTGAAAGAGTCCAGTCAGTAAGGACCAGCTTGAAAGGCTCACCCTCAAGCTGGCAGACCCTTATTAACAAACAGCATCCGAAGCCTGCTGGGGGTTCTGTCTTTCAAACATCAGTCTCTGGCAGGTAGGAATCTAACATTTTAAAAGCCTACTCCCTTCCTGGCTTTCTCGCTGTGGGTGTGCAGAGTGACCTATGTGGTGGAGGGGGTCAACTACTCTGTCCTTCCCAAGCCTCCTACCTGCTGCTAGGGGCAAGCATATCTACTACTTTACTACTATTCGGCTTCCATTACCAGGTTCCTCTCCCTCCAGGTTCTGCATAGGCTGCAGGTGGTTCTCATGCAGCAGCTGAGTGAACTTTACATGATTTTTGTCAGTTTCACTGTTGCCCACAGGGTTCTGAATATTAATGATGAAATTGACTAGCGTCTCATTAATTTCATTCTGGTGCTGCTTCAGAAAGCAGCAGTGAACTCAAGGTGTTGTCTGACTTACAAAGATTGCCTTCAAAATGTGAATGATAGCAATGTCTTAGCAATATCTTAGACAGCTTTTAGGGGAACAGACATGTCTTCCTACTGTCTCTAGCACAATGGAGCCCAGATCTGACTGGGACTTTTGGGGGCTATCACAATACAAATAATAAGCAATAACTGTAAGGGTCAATTGCAGTGATATGTAGGGTAATTAGTACAGGTTTCAAAGTGATGTCACAATTATCTTTGCCTAGGTCTAATCCTCTTTAGGTTTCATCATTTATTGGTACTACTGTGATCCTTGTGATGGCCTCAGTACTTCAAATGCAATACAGTTTTGCTTCAGGTCCGATCATGTCCCTTTCCTCTCAATTATTCTCTATCATGAGCAGAATTTCCTTCTTGGACTTACTAGTACCTGATCCTCAAAACCTAGTTTTAACAGCTACTGTCCTTGGCACAAATGGCAAGACTCATGGGCACTTGGCTTCCCTTTTTGTCTTAAATTGGTCACTGGAGACTGAATATGCAGATACTAATGGGATTCTTCATACTCTTGACAGAAGGAACTGCTATCAACAGCTTTGGTTCATCTTTCTAAGCAGCTGACCTCTTTCAGGGGATGATTGGAGGGTTTCATGACAGATTTACTATTTAGTCTAATCTTACTCCTGTGTTATCAGGTGCTCAACCAGAATTTTGCTTTCCAGCCCCACCGCTATTTATGCTGGTCACAAATGCTACTTCCTTTGCCTGTGGGATCCTTTCTCTCTTACTATTCTAAATTCTTTCTTCAGTAGAGTTGCAGCACTTAGCTTCTACATCAGACCCTGTCCCTTTTCCTCTAGTAGTCCTCCGCAAAATCTAATTGATTTTGGAAAGGAATCGTCTTCTTTTGGCTCAGACTATAGGCAGTAGAGTCCTCAGATCAGCTTCCTGCCCAAATCAGTTTGACTGTCACCGATGAGCTCTTCACGATCATAGGTCTGGCAGGCCCTCAACTATCCTCTTTAGTAGTGGCAGGATTTTTCATCTTTGTGAATGCACACTTTGTTTTAAATTTCCCTTTTCTTCTCAGTTACAGGCCTCTCACAGACTATATTGCATCCACATGAGGGAGGGAAAGTGAATGCTGCATTCAGGTGGAGAGCTGTGCAGTGTATTCCCAGTGAAACTCAAGCCATGCAACGCTTGCTGGGGTATGTGTTTCATTACAGTCTCAGATTTGGATTATTGAGGTACCTCTAGAAGCATGAATGGCAGACTCAAGGAGCTCAGGGCATGTCTGCACTATCAATGTTAAAGCACTCTCCCAGCGCTATAAAACAACCACCCCTATGAGGGGAGTAGCTACCAGCACTGGGAGCTTGGTTTCTAGCACTGGTGCACTGTCTACACTGGCACTTTACTGTGCTGAGACTTGCAGTGCTCAGGGGTGTGTTTTTTCACACCCTTGAATGAGAAAGTTGCAGTGCTGTAAAGTGCCAGTGTAGACAAGCCCTCAGTGAGGATGAGGGAGGGGAAAAGGACCCTCTATTAGTTACAGAAAGGGAGTGGAAATCAGGACTCTTGATTGCATTCCTGGGGCCTGATTCACCATGGCTCTGTATTTGTGTAGTCACTTACACCAGTGCAAAGTAGGTGTAAAGCACACCATTCTGATCAATGAATTGGGCTCCTAGTTATAACAGTATCAGAGGGGTAGCCATGTTAGACTGAATCTGTAAAAAGCAACAGAGGGTCCTGTAGCACCTTTAAGACTAACAGAAGTATTGGGAGCATAAGCTTTCGTGGGTAAGAACCTCACTTCTTCAGATGCAAGTAATGGAAATTTCCAGAGGCAGGTATAAATCAGTATGGAGATAACGAGGTTAGTTCAATCAGGGAGGGTGAGGTGTGAACTGTTTCCAACTACAGAAGCAGTTTCTCCTCCCTTGGTGTTCACACCTCAGCTGCTAGCAGAGCACCTCACCCTCCCTGATTGAACTAACCTCGTTATCTCCATACTGATTTATACCTGCCTCTGGAAATTTCCATTACTTGCATCTGAAGAAGTGAGGTTCTTACCCACGAAAGCTTATGCTCCCAATACTTCTGTTAGTCTTAAAGGTGCCACAGGACCCTCTGTTGCTTTTTATAGTTATAACAGTGAATCCATAGGGAAGTTGCTTAAGGCCAGATTTTTAAAGGTATGTAGTTGTCTAATGGAATTCTTCTTAAATATTTGCCAGTTATGTCTGACAGTCACTGAGCAATATAACAATATTTTGTACTTACTATGTTTCACCTGGAAATTTCAAAACACTTTATTTAAAAATTAAGATAGGGGCTTCAGGACAAGTCGTGCTATCCTGGCTTGTAACGTGTCCTGTACACTAGGTACATGCATTTTGTAGTAATAATCCCTGTGGGGTAAACAGGTTATGCATCATTTGAAAATGGGGAAATTGAAGCACAGGGATGGGCCAGAGCCATATTTCCAATTAGGCACAGTAGGCATGTGCCTAGGGGCCCTGGCGTTCTGAGGGCACCTAAAAGTTAAAAGTGGGTTAAAAGTTTCATTTTTTATGGAAAAACACAAAGGTCAGCTGTAGGTGGCGGGGATGGGGGGGATTGGGAGAGAACTGAAGATGCTGTGCCTAGGGGCACACGTAAGGTGTAAATCCAGCATATGAGTGGCCTGAGGCCACACAGAGAACAGGATCCCAGTCATGCTGACTAAGAATCCCCTGCTTTAATTACAAGAACACATCTTAAATGCGTTAAGATCAATAGATAACATCATATTTGTACCAGATGGAATTATAATTCATGGCTTTGAGATTCAAAGTGCAGGAGCTCTTTCCATTTTAGCTGTAGGAACAAACACTAACCAGAGGGAAGAGATACATGTGAGGTAATGCAGTATTCCATCCAGTAGAGGGCAGTAGTAGAGACATGTAAACCAGTCCATCTGAAAGGGGAAAGAGATTCTCCCTTTCCTCAGTTTTCCAATTTAAATCCTGATTCCAGATTAACCTGAGCAACTCTCTCTTCCTCCCCTTGGCACCAGCGCTCCCCAGACCTCTGCTCCCTTTCCCTCTGTAGCAATAGGTCCTCTCCTACTCAGGGGGAACTTTCTCTTGTATGTGTTTGGCTCAGCTCCTGCATTACTGGCTTGCAGTTAGCATAGACTTGTGACGGGCTGTTAAAAGATGAAAGGGTAGGCGCGCTTTCTTCCTTGGCTTAATGAGCCTGCCAGAGAGGATCTTGAGCCAGCTGCTGCTGATAAGATCCCTCCTGTGCTGCTCAGCAGACATAGCCTTGAGGATTTCTCCCGCAAAGGTGGCTCGCCCTTAACACTGTCATGCACTGTTTCAGATATACCCTCCCTTGGCTCAGCTCCTAGCCTTAGGCGAACTGGAAAGCGTCTGTCCCCCAACAGACACTCCCACCATAAACAGTCACTAAAGATTGAATATTGCCGCCAGGGGTGCTGGAACAGTGTGTATAGTGGGGGTGCTGAGAGCCATTGAACCAATCTGTAAACCCTGTGTATGATGGAAACCACTTCAAGCCAGGGAGTGCAGCAGCACCCCTAGTTCCAGCACCTATGACTGCCATCCTAGACAACTGCCTCTCCGGCCTGTGGGCTGCAGCCAGTCTTGTTACTGCCTGTACTTGGGGGTGGGGACACTGAAAAGTACTTGTATGTTGTTGCAATCAGATTTCAGTCTCCCACCCAAGGACGCTGATTAACATAAAACTAGAGCGACCCTCCTAGACCGTCGCTCATCAGTGCTGTGCCAGGGAAAGGGCAGGAGGGGCGACTGTGCCCCAAAGATGCTGCAAGCTGCTCTGCGGGCGATCTCTTAAACAGGAACCCCCCTCTCCAGCAACACTCTCACTCACCCCGTCCCCAGAGCGTTTCCATTTAATATACTACTGCAACACTGTATCCTCCGGCTGGGGGGTTATGAATGGGTGCAGCGGAAGCACCGCCCACCCCGGACGTGACGCTCAGCCAATGGGGGACCGGGCTGCGTGGATGGATGAGGTCAGCGCTGTGGTGTCGGGGAATGGAATGTGTAAGTGTAACATTCAGAACCGGGTAACGTTCGGAGATCGAACTCTGCGATCGGCGACGTTCGAACCGGGGCAGGCAGCCTCCTCCGTGCTTCGGCAGCTCGCACCTCATTGACTAACTGGGGGGGCGGGGGCAAAGAGGAGGAGGAGGAGGAAGAAGGAGGAGGATCTTCGCTGCTTCGGCTGGTTCCATCCCGGGGGCCATTCACAGAGATCGCGGAGAGAGGGGTAAACAGCACCAGAGTCTAGGAGCTCCTCTGCAGAAGAGAATAAAGAGAAATGCAGGGATTTGTAAGGTTACGGCGCTCAAGCTGGAAGATGTGATAATGATAGCGGTGTGAACCGGCGCTGGCTGTGAGCTGTTGCTGACTTGCTCTGGAACCGGGGGGCTTGGTTATTGCGGGAGTGTTTTGGATGAGTTGAAGTTGCTGCTGTACCTTGATCGTTTGCAACACTAGAGAGAGAAAGAGTGGGGGAGGGGAAATACACTCCGTCTTGCAACTGATTGAGGGGTGAAGGGAGCTGGATTTGGTGCTTATTTCATTTGTGTGTGTCTGTGTCTGTGGGTGCATGCAAGAGAATTCCCAGCCCTTTGCCTTCCAAGCCCGGGCTGGGCGTGAATTATTCGCCTTCGCTGTTTCTCTCTCTCTCTCTATTGTGCGAGCCAAAGATGAAAGACAGAAGAGGAGAAAGTTAAAGAAATCGCCCACATGCGCTGCATCAGTCCAAGGCTTTGGGAAAGGAATAAAGAGAAGGTGGTAGAAGAGAGTTTGAAGTCTTTGCAGGCGGGAAGATGGCGGACTGGAGCTGAAAGTGTTGATTGGCAAACTTGGGTGATCCTTGTGTTTATTTACAATCATCTTGACCCAGATAGGACACATGCAGGCCAAAAAACGCTATTTCATCCTGCTCTCAGCTGGCACTTGTCTCGTCCTTTTGTTTTACTTCGGAGGCTTGCAGTTCAGGGCAGCGAGAAACCAAAGCAGGAGAGAGGAGCACAGTAGCAGGAATGGCTTGCACCACACCAGCCCGGATCACTATTGGCCCCGATTCCCGGACGCTTTGCGCCCCTTCATTCCTTGGGATCAATTGGAAAACGAGGATTACAATGTGCACATTTCCCCTAGGCAGAAGAGAGACGCCAATTCCAGCGTCTACAAAGGCAAGAAGTGCCGCATGGAGTCCTGCTTCGATTTCACCCTTTGCAAGAAAAACGGCTTCAAAGTCTACGTGTACCCGCAGCAGAAAGGGGAGAAAATCGCCGAAAGTTACCAAAATATTCTAGCAGCCATCGAGGGATCCAGGTTTTACACTTCCGATCCGAGCCAAGCTTGCCTGTTTGTTCTGAGCTTGGATACCTTAGACAGAGACCAGTTGTCACCCCAGTATGTGCACAACCTGCGATCGAAAGTGCAAAGCCTCCACTTGTGGAACAATGGTAGAAATCATTTAATTTTTAATTTATATTCCGGCACCTGGCCCGATTACACTGAAGACGTAGGGTTTGATATTGGCCAGGCGATGCTGGCTAAAGCTAGCATCAGTACTGAAAACTTCAGACCGAATTTCGATGTTTCTATTCCGCTCTTTTCTAAGGATCATCCTAGGACAGGAGGGGAGAAGGGATTTCTAAGGTTTAACACCATCCCTCCTCTCAGGAAGTACATGTTGGTATTCAAGGGGAAAAGGTACCTGACAGGGATAGGGTCAGACACCAGGAATGCCTTATATCACGTCCACAACGGGGAGGATGTTGTCCTCTTGACCACCTGCAAGCATGGCAAAGACTGGCAAAAGCACAAGGATTCGCGTTGCGATAGAGACAACACCGAATATGAAAAGTAAGTGACCAGTGCCCCTTCTGTGTTTGCCTGCCTAAGGTTAGGCCAGTTTTTTCTGGCCTCTGGTGTTCTAGGCAGCTGTCAGCTATCTGCATTTTTAAATGTGCTACATACTTTCAGGCCACAGGAAAACCATGATTTTTCTTTTCCTGCCCTGAAATTCTTTCCAGCTGTTAGTAAGTTACTTAGATATACGGGGGCATAGGGGTGGAAGCACCTCATTGTGGAAAATATTTCCAATGGGATGCAAAGTCCTGTAGGTTCTCCTGGGTTTAGCTAGACCAGGAGCTGACGACCTGTGTGCGCACTCTTTGGCTTTGCAACAAAGATACTGCTAGAGGCTACCCTGATATCTGGCTCCACCATTCATTCATCATTTTGTCTCTTCAGGGTAAACGTCCTCTTCCTTCCTAGCCCTGAAGTTAACCACCTAGGACAAAGCTCAAAGAGAGCTGATGACTTGTAGAGTGTGTGTGCAGTGATTGTGTGTGTGTGCATGCACCCAGTCTTGTCTTTCTCAAAGAGCATTTGTCCAGTGACAGGACTGAGTCTGTGATCTGTAGAGAGTGGGGTGTAGTAAGATAGCTCACAATCTTATTTCTCTAGATGATACAAATGGGTAAAGGAGGAAAACCCCATAGATTCTAAGGTCCCTTGGTATTTTTCCCCATGTTGATAACTCTTTCCAGTGGCTAGGGACAATTTCTGTATACTCTGTGTAACACTTTGCTTACCTTTCTTCTTTTGGTGGTTTGCATACTGCCGCTGTGGGCAAGTTTAACCAGATGGTTTAGGTGGGTACTGTATTACTCTTCTCCCCAAATATCCCTTGCAATTATGTAGCTTGTATATGTAGCTGCTGAAAAATCGCTTTCAGGAATTACCTCTAGAATGGCAATACTAACTAGTCAATTTGAAACGGTTAATTTAAATGCTGACCACTGCTGTGGGTGCTCCAGAGCAAATATTCCCATGCAAAAACTGCATAGTCTGTTTCCATGTAACAGAAGTTTTTAAAAAACAGAGCAACTTTATATTGCTGAGTTAGTACTATCTAGAGCTACATCAGGAACTGCCAAAGGCTGGAAGAGTTTGCAATGGATAGTGAAATACAGTGTGGGAGAAAAATAATCCTGGCAGAGGGTAATGAAGAAGTTACAATGATATTAATGCTGACCAAAATTTCCAACTGGCTGCCAATTTCTCTTGCAGCCATTAGCCACAAAGTTTGAAATAAATGAATTAGCTAATGCTGAAACCCAGGAAAGCTCTGTGCTTTCTTTGATATGAACATGATCAACCTACTGCTTATTTTAGAGCCCTGTAAGGAAGTGGTGTGGAGCTTCATAAATACTTCTTGGCTTTTTATTTTATCCACTTTCTGAGCATAGAAAATTGATAATTTTTTAGTATAAATAACATGTAAAAACCTGGGGTAAATCCAGATTGTGTAGCTCAAATCAAGATGTTTACACATTTGACTCATGAACTGGGATTTCCTTTAAATTGTGGATAGTAACTGATGTCTTCTTCATAAAACAGAGAGAGAAAATGCCTATAGCCTTCAGAGATTTCTGGCATATGCTTGTTTAATCTGAGTGAGTCTACACTTTTCATGTCTGTTAGCCACCTTGCTGAAGTCTGCAGAATTCACTATGGTTTAAAGTTTTGTTAGATTCTTAAAACACAAAAAAATACCAGTCAAAGGTTTGACTATTGGGAACTTGAGCTTGTATTATTTACAATGTCTGTGCAGGTCAATTTCATTAAGGAGTGTACAACATGCACCTTATAGTACACATTAATATTAATAAAAAACACACCTGATGTGTAGTCTTTCATATCTAAGAAGTATAGGGATCCCTGCTAGTCCACTTCAGTGGCAAGTGCAACTCTATCTGGGGTAGAGTGCAGTAACTGTTTAACATTGCACAGCAACGCTATGCAATAGTTTAAGACGGGACGTGGAGATAATCATAGTTATTTAAGATTGCAGGAGGAAATTTAGGTCGGCTGAATGTAGTTGTTGAATTGGAATTGTGGTTAAGATACTGGGGCTAATACTCCTGTGAATTACCATAAATGGCTAAGACCTTTTAACTTTTTATCTTATCTGAAAGACCTGCAAGAGCATATTGCTGTCCTTTAGTACAATGCTGAAGCATTGATTCGGTACTGATTTATGGCAAAGTGTGCCACCTACTGAATACCACTTCCTGTAGCATCCTGAGTTTTGCTTTTCTCCCATTCAAATACTGATCATAGCTAACTCTGTTCAATGTATGAAATCTGACAAGGTCACATCCTGAGGCAATTATGGCTACAGGCAGCCAGTAGTATTTCTTACATGTAGAATATATAACATGTAAATATTGTAACAGGTAGTCCTCTATTAGCTGTAACTGAAACTGCACCTGAGAAAGATAACATTGCACAAGGCTATACCAGTTAAAGAAGAAATTTGTTATGATTTTAAAACTAGGCCTACGCTAGATCTAAATTCATATTCACATGACTCTCAGGTCAGACCGAGCTGCTTTTGTTCTGCAATTTTTGGATTGGATTAAGCAACATGTCCTCATGGTTTTAAAATGATGTGCATTCTCCAAGAATTGTGTATTAGAAATGGATTAGTTTGTCCATAAGGAGTTGGCCAAGTCAAATATTTCACTCTCTGTGTCAGCTTCTGTGCCACTCTTTTTTTTAAATTTGCTGTGGCATTTATACTGTCTTGTTTCTGTGCTTGTGTTCATCACATGATCCCCTTCATATAATACTGATCCATGCAAGTGCAGAAGTATTGATCCATGCAAGGTGCATCATGAATGATTTGAGCTTGGCTGTAAGAAGAATCTTTGTCAAGCCAGCTAAAATAGATGATTGGACTTAAAATCTTGATGATGTCGTATCAACAGAGTAAGGTTATGATTTACATTTATTTCCAATGTAAAATGTCACTTTGTAAAAAACGTAATATAGACATTATTTGCAATGAAATTCTGCCTGGAGCAAAATGATTAGGGCCCAGTAAAAGCAAGATCTACATCTCTACAGAATACAGCTTCTCTCTTTTCTCCCCCTACCCTTTCCCCAAGAGATGAGAAAAGTCAACTAATGATTTCTCTATTTATGAAAAGTGAAAAGTGCACCTTATTCCATTGAGAAGGGGGACATATTTGGCTCAGTCTTCATAAGTTCTATTAAGAGAGCCATCTGTATGTGAGAGCTAATTAATTTTCATCAAAGTTATGCATCTCGGCGGCTAAAGCTGATGCAGACTAAAATGAATTGCATTATCGTGATTGGACTATTGCAAACAGGGTTTTTAAAAATACTTTGTATTCTGTCCCTGAATCTTTTCATTAGGGTTGACTTCTATAGTCTGTCATTAGAACCACTCTTTTTTTAAAATTCCTTTTCAATATGATTTTTTTAAATTTTAGCTTGATACTTTCCACTTTTGGAAATGGTTAGGTGCATACATTGAAAGGAACAGGTGCCATGTTTATTGAAGGTTAAAGAGAGGCCATTTAAAGGTGGACTAAACACTGTCTTTTGATAAAAGCAAAATTCATGGGTAGATTAAATTAATGTCAAGTTACTTTTTGGAAGGTAATATTATAGATTACCATTGATGTGGTCAGAAAGGTAATAGAGGACACAAATGCAAGCTGCATGTCTGTCCTAATGTAGCCAGAAGCTTTCAAGACATTTTTTAAAAACTGAAATCTTTCTAAGGTGGAAGATAGCAATGTCTGTAACCCAACCTATCTTTGCTTTTTTGACTCTGGATAGCCCTGACCTCACATCTTTCAGAAAATGGAGAAAGTAACAGTGATGGTAGTCACATGTTTAGGGCCTGATCCAAAGGTGACTGAAGTCAATAGGAGGCTTTTCCTTGACTTCACTGGACTTTGGATCAGGCCCTTCATACTCCACCAATGGTAAAAAGGATTAGATCCTCCTATGTGTAATCAGGGATGGAAACTTCATCAATGGAAAAATCCATAGATTAGCTATGAGAGAGAGACAGAATACATGTAGGGCGATCTTGGCTCTTGTAGCCTTTATGAACTGATCAGAGCATAAGCAAAGGGAGACATTATTCAAACCTTCGCCTGCTATACCTGTCAATCAGCCAACGCCCAAATACAGGATACATTGTGTGGCCGCAACCCAAAATAAAGGACACAGAGAAATGCTTCATGCAGGGAACGGAAAGTGATGTGGGATCAGTTCCACCAAATTGGTGTGGAAGGTATACCACTTTGAGCCTGAAATGAGGAACGTTTTAGAGGCCCGTAAACACCCAGCTGAGCACTCTCGTTTTCAATACATGGAATATAGGCTTAACAGACCAAAATCCAACTAGACATCTGTATATGCACCTATAAATATGTGGCATCTCTCTAGATAGTACTAACCTATTGCGTGCTTATGATAGACGAATGTATCTCTACATATTTCCATTCATTTTTAGTATACCATATGTAACTTACAGATAGACGTACTTTATGCTGAAAGAACCATTGTCCTAAGCATTTTTATGGATACCTATGTGAAGGTTATAATGAAGCATAATAAAGAACCAAAAGGGAAAAAATGAAATGTTTAACTGGTTACGGTCTTTTCTTACCTGCCAAGAATATAGAGTCTGGGGTTCTGGGTGTCCTCTGTTAGAATTAGCAGTACAAACCCCTAAGTCCTTTTCTGAACTCCTCCCTCGTTAGGCAGTCTCACAAGGGAGACTCAAAACTTTAAAATTGGATCTTGGCAGGCAAATAGAGGAGCTGAGCTTCAAATATGTTATATTAAATTGTCAACGTATTTGTCCCCTTTACGTCTCTGCATAAATTCTGTTACTGATTTGGCATCTTGTAAGTAAGATTTATTTTTAAAAAAATTTTCAGTTCACCTTTTAAGCTGCTATTTAGGAATGAGTAAGAAACCCTCTAGTTCAGTGTAGATACTTATGAAAGACTGAATGGTCATACGGGGCC